TGGTAAGGATGCTACAAGAGCTGCTGTGACATGGAAAGCAGTATTGCACAGTAATTACTGAGGCTCAAGTCTGGCCGGTAGGCTCTTAGAGGTTTTTTTCAGCTTTGCAATTGATTGACTTTCAGAGACTTTTACTAAGTTACTAGTATTTAACTTTGGTATTTTTTTTGAAGAGAACTAGAAATGATTTACTGCTTGTGCAAGGAACTGAGACTTCTCTACTGGAATTCGTGGAAATTAGAGAAGAATATTTTATTCCTGGCATTTCTGACATGTGGGTCTGCAAACTCTGTTCCAAGGCTTTGCCAAAGTCTGAAAACTATCAAGCAATAAATATATGACAAAAACAGCGACAAAAGAGACTGAAAGGCAGACTGGTTAGAGATTCTCAGAATACCGTGCTTTTCAGTGTTGGTCTCTTCTGAGCTGATCCTGATGGGGGCAGCTTCTAAGATATTTTTTTTTTCCTTTCTTGGTCACCCCAGCTGCCTCCAAAACAGATTGGAATTTCCTAATGTAGGAGATGCTGCCACCTGGAATGGTTTACGTTTGTCATGTTGAAGTATCTCTGGATTCCGAAGTGTACTGATGCGAACAGCCATAAACTCCACGTATTGCTAGGATCTTGTGTGTGTGGATGAATGCTTGTAAAGTACTTAAATGTGTTATGGTTTATTATTTGCTGTGAAAGCTCCTGTATTGCCAAGGGAGAGGAAATGTCTTCTGTTCCTTCTGGATGTTCTTCACTACATGATTTTTTTGGGAAAGGGAATTGTTTGAGGTATTTTGGAAACTTACCTTTGGCAGCTGTATCAGAAATGAAGGGGAGAAACGTGATAGACCCTTCTAGCCTAGTCTCAATTGCCAGTAAAATCGTGAGGAACTGTATTGTGAAACAATTCTTCTTGTTATGTTTAGATAATAGGGGTTTTTTAATGGCAATTAGTACTTTTGTTTGCGTTTGAATAAATAAATAGAAATGGGTTTTAACTATATGGTCCAAATAGCAATTTATTGGTGATTGGACTCAGTGTTACAGTATTTATTGCGTAGGTGAAATTATTCTTATGAGCCTGTTGACAATATTATCTGGATAATGCAATTCTGCTTTTTTGATTTAAGTTGTTTCTATCTAACTGTTCAAACCTGCTAGCTCTGCTTGCATTAGCAGAGCTTTAGGGCTGTCGAGTTAAAAAAATATATATAATCTGTTTTTCTCATGCAGCATCAGGGCTGAGAAAGATACCGATACTTTGGATTTAAAAGGCATATCCTTTGCATCTCCTGTATTCAGGAACAGCTTGTCTCCATTTATTAAAAAAAAAAAGGCGAGGGGAAAAAAAAAAAAAGAATGGCTTGGCTTTGCTTAAGTTTCAAAATCCTTCTTGGAGAAACTAACTGGGAGAGGATGGATGTTTAAGACAATCATCAGGGTATTATGACCATGCGTAGGCGGTCAAGAGACAGCTATGGGTAAATTGGCAAAGCATGTTTCCTAGAAGACTTCATGGAACTGCAGAGCAAAGGAATCTGGACAGGGTAAGGCTTTTATTCACCATGTCTAGATGGCTTGCAGAAGAAAGTCATGGATAGGGAGATGGATGAGGTAAGAATCAAAGGCCAAATGCTCTGTGAACTGAGAGTTTCCTCCTGGGTCCTTGTGAGCAGCAGAATATTCTCTCCTGCCTCCCTCTGGTGTGTATGAAAGTGGATATTTTTTTGTTGCATGCTGGAATGAGTGAAGGGATACTTGTTTCTTGGTATAATGAGGAGAGGCAGAGATGTATTGCCGTGAGTGTACTTTGTATGAGTAAGAGTATAGGGCTGGAAAGGTTCTCCTGGTTCCTCAGGGCAGGTCCTAAGCAGGACTGACATTGCTTAGGACTTGAAAACCTGCTGTGGCCTCTTTGCCAAAACACATCTGTAAGAAGTCATGGTCAACCCAAAACTAGAGTGTACAGCTCTGATGCAGATTATGACTCCTGTGGCTGCTTCAACGGTAGAAGTGGTTGAAATCCATAGGACAGTGGTTGTGTACATGCATGTGTTGGTGAATAGACTAAACTAATAAACCTCAATGTGCTTTTCATAGGGTTTAATTTTTTTTCCATTCTGCCTTCAAAATTGTGTCTAACAACATTTGGT